GCTGGTCGATCCTTGGCAGCGGGTATAGATCTTTCGGGCAAGCCTTATTTAGATCACGGAAATCGATGCACATCCTCCACTTTCCTCCCGATTTGGACACCATTACCGTGTTAGAATATTATTCAGGGAACTGAATCTTTTTAATGTGCCCAGCGTTCATCAGCTTGTCGACCTCCTACTCGATGATTTTGTCCATTTCCGCACCATGATGCCTCCTCTTTTGCTTTACCGGCCTCACACTGAGATCAATATTAAGTCTGTGCTCAATCACCCTGGCCTCGATCCCCGTTAGTTCATCCGTTGTATACGCGAAAATGTCCGTAAATTCCCTTATTAAATTGATCAGCTTCGACCTGATTGGCTCTCCCAAATCTTTCCCAATCCTGAATTTTCAGTCATCGCATCCCTGCACCATTTGAATTTCCTCGATCTCTTCTTCGGGCTGTATGTCTATCTTCTCCTTTCCCTTGTCTTGTCCGCCTCTCTCCTCTTTCGCTCGTGATCCTCATGGTCGATCAGGCCTTACTTCCTTGCCTTTCAACTGTCTTTCTGCCATCTGTTTGTTGTTACTGACTGTGGTTTGATAGCAACTCCTCGACGTGAGCTGGTCCCCCGCAATCTCGCCTACATTTTCCCCCACAGGATATTTGATCGTCATGTGGTAAGTAGACACGACCGCTTGGAACGCATTTAAACCTGTCCGCCCTAAAATGATATTGTAAGACGATTCTGCTCCGACCACCACAAACCGGATCATTCTTACTTTCCTCGAGTCGCCCGACCCCAATGCTACGGTCAGGCTCACTTCGCCCATTGGCATTACCTCCCCACCGTTAAACCCGTATAAAGCTGTCGCCACTTCCAGATTCAGGTGTTTGTTGATCTGGGCAAAACAATCGTAGAACATCACGTCGACTGAGCTCCCCGTGTCAATGAACACTCTTTTCACATCGAAACCTGCCACTTCGGCTGTGATGACCAGTGCGTCATTGTGGGGTAACAAGATTCCTTCCGCATCTTCTGCTCGAAAGCTAATCACAGGCATTCGACCAGTTATCCCGACCTCCTCTCTTTTACGCTTCACCGCCCGCACATGCCCCTTTCGTGCATTATTTGAATCCCCATCCGTTGGTCCCCCTGAGATCATGTAAATCGTGCCCCTCTTCACAGGCAACTCCTCCCTCAGCTCCTCTCGACCATCGTTTTGTCGTCTCCTTCTTTCTTTTCTAGCATCGTCTTCTCCATCGTCATCCCTATCACTCCTCGCCATAGAATCTTCCCTGCACCTTCTCCTTTCTTTACCCCGTGGTCGATCGCGAATGACAAATTCTTTTAGGTGCCCTGCCCGTATGAGACGCTCGATCTCGTCCTTCAAGTGCCTACAATCTTTCGTATTATGTCCATAATCCCTATGAAATCTGCAGTATTTATTCGACCTAGGTTTGGTCGGTCCCTCGAACCTGGTCGCTGGCCATGTGACTTCCTTGCTTTCCAACTTCTCCTCTATGGCCACCAAGACTTCGCCCATCTAGGCGTTGATAGGAGTAAAATGATTATATCTTTGGCCGTTTGGTAGTCGAGGTCGCCCTTGCCAACGATCTTCTCGCTTCTCTCGGAATGAATTTCGCCCATCCCTCCTGGGCGACAACTTCTTAAAAGATCCTCCTCTTGGGGAATTTTTCCTAGGCGATCCTCTCCTGGGCGAGCTTGTCTTTCCCTTCTTCTGCTCAGGTTTCATAACGTCCTCGAGTTTGGCAAATTATGCTTCCGTTTCTTCCAAGTTAATGTACTTCTTGCATCTTTTGAGCACCTCATCGTAAGTTCGAGCAGGCGTCTTTGCCAGCGACGTTCGACATGGTCCTGGTCGTAGGCTTCTAATCAATCCTCCTGCTTTCACCTCGTCACCCGCTGTGGGCACCTCCAGACACACCTGATTATATCGAGCAACATATTTCCGTAAGGATTCTTTCTCGCCTTGTCTCATTGCCATCAGTGTAAGGTATGTCTTCTCCTGGGCGACCGCACTTGATTATTGATTAGTAAGTTGTTCTGCGAAATCCTCAAAGTCTCTGATCGAACCTGGAGCCAATTGGTGGAACCAGTCAAGCGCACCCCCCCGTAAGGTCGACAGGAAGGCCCTGCAGCTGACCGGGTCTGAGTATCCGTGTAAGACGGACATGTTTTTGAATGCTCTCACGTGCCTCGACGGGTCGCTCGATCCATCGAAAATCAGATTTATCTCCCGGAAACTCGCAGGTAACGGCGCAGCTAAGATTTCCCTCGAGAATGGGTGTCCTCGAGCACGTCTTTCCGGCCTCCCTTCCACCTTCTCCTGCAACTGCCTAAGCTGTTCGGACATCCTCTCCATCGCTCTGTCTCTGTACTCTCCTCCTCCGCCGTAACTCGACACGTCCTCCTCTTGTGTCCCCTGCACCGTTGTCGGCGCAGTAGCAGCCTGGGATGTCTGGTGAGTGGCTTGTTGCACAGCCTTTGCTGCCGCATCGGCCACCATCCTCTGCACTTCTTCTCTCGTCATGGCCACTACTTGCTGAGCAGGGGGTTGGGGTGCTCCTCCTGTTGGCGGCATCATGGTCTGTGCTGTTGGCCCTACCTGCTGCGTTACGACTGGACCTGCTTGCAACGGAGGGAGGACTGCCGTTGATACCACCTCACGAGTTTCATGCTCTTTGCTCGT